CGAAATTATCCATCCTCGATCACTTTTAGTCAGCTTTGACGAAACTCCTCTCAGCTAGCACGTCTTTTCAAAGTGAAAGTAGCCTTGTCACCTGACCAAAATAAATAATTATTTTGTGCCTAAAAAGTGCCTAAAACTTTTAAAAGTACTGTAGCCTTTGCAGGTAGGTTTATTGAAGCATCTTAGACGTTGCCACAGTTCTTCTGGATTTAGTCTGTCTCAGTTTGTTCTGTTTCTTAATGTCATTCCAGACAGACTGGATGATGATGAGATCATATCTCTGTGAGGAGCAATGGCTGTTGTCAGACTCCTTGTGCAAGCAAAAGTCTCACTGGATTATTACAATTAATGGCAAAATGAATGTTTGGAATGTAAACTGATATTTCCTACCGTCTACGCGCTGGACACCGATGGACAGATCCTCAAGGTTTTTCAACTCATAAATGTGTCCTGTTCCCATTGCTTTCTTACGAGTACAGACAATCTAGGATACCAGAACTAAAAATGCATTGCTAAGGTAATATGAAACAGCATTAAAGATGTCAAGCTCATCTAAATCTTGCATATAGTTTTCTCACAGTCATGGCTGACAAACAGCCATCGAGGTGGAGCGGTGAGAGGTTTGTGGTTTTCCGTATCCTCTCACACTCAGTCTGTGCCGACTGTGTCTCTCTGCAGGGGTTTGTGGCCGTGGGCTCGGGCGAGCCGGGCGGAGACGAGTATCACACCTTCGTGCTTTACCACAACAACAGCCCGCGCTGGGCGGAGCTAATCAAGCTGCCCATCCCAGTCGACATGTTCCGGGGCTCTCATGTCCGCTTCGAGTTCCGCCACTGTTCCAGTAAGTCCGACGCGACTGATGAGAAAACCATTGTTCTTTTTGTTCCTCGCTTTAGGATGCATTTCATATTCACATAAGACTGAGGCAAGACAGTATTTCCCACACTTAATAGATGCAGAGCTTGAGAGAGGAAGTTAAATGGGCTGAATTTCAAATGAGTGTTGGAGAGTGCAGGAGATGTAGCAGTGAACCGTGTGAGTCAGAGCATCACTAATGGGCACTTAATATGGGCAAGTATAATCCAGAAGTGGAGATCACCAAGGGGTATTTTTGGGTCTTTTTTTATGCAAATAATTTCCAGTTAAGCATATGTGCTTAATTCAGTTCTGTATTTGTCAGATGTGTAGACTTCCTGTACACCAAAACACCTCAAATCATCTGAAGGACATCATTCATTGATCTATTGACCAGTATGAATTTTTGTGCTGGTCCAAATTGGTTTATGCTAGTTTTGGTGCTGGTATAGGGTTGAGAATCAAGGTTTTTATTCAGAATAATGATGCTGGAGCCAAATGATTGGTTGATGTGGCTTTGGTTTTGTGCAAATGAAATGACACAATGATGTCACTGGCCATGTGCGGCCTATTTTTATTCTTATGTTATTCAGTAGTTGACTTTTGAATGTGTGAGACATTGTTTTTTGTGATTTTTCCTGTCTAAAGACACTTATGCCTCTGTAAGTGGCATGACTCAAAGAGAAAAATAAATCCAAAAGTTCGGGTTTAAGCAAGATAACAAAGACAGTGACGTTATGAATAAATGTAAAAAGGTAATAAACCATTATATAAAAAGTGTAAACACAATTTTACATTTGTAAATTCTATGAATAAATAATAAAATAATATAAAATAATTATTTTAATAATTATAAAATAATAATGCTAAATATTATTTTTATTTAATATATATTAATATATTAATTAATTGTAATATATATGTACACATACATATATATGTATATTTTACATTATATATATATTTTCCAAATATTGTACATTATCCATTCTTTCTTCCTCAGAATTACGAAAAGACTGGATAATGTAGTCATTAAGGTATATGAATTGTTAATTTAATCATTACATTTTGATGACTGGCTTGCCAAGCATGTATTGCTCATTAACACCAGCATCCAAAACACAACATATTTTCTGTATGGCTGTGACTATTTTTCCTGATATTGTCAAGAAGGGTCACAGACATGTAGTGGCCTAAAGCTCCAGATTAAATGTCAATGTTTAGTTCCAGCATAAAAACTGTATTTTCTTTTTAAGGAGTTTTAAATGGATTTGGCTTGTAATATACAGTGTTTGTGTTCTCCAGCAAAAGACAAGGGGGAAAAGAAGCTGTTCGGCTTCTCATTCGTTCCTCTAATGCAGGAAGACGGGCGGACTCTGCCCGACGGCACCCACGAGCTCATCGTTCATAAGGTACAGCTGTCAAAATGTCTCATTGGCTTTTCTGCAACAAATGCAATTTAAGAGCAACTGTATGTCAAATGACAAATTGTCCTGGCTGACACTTATTTCATTCTGCATGCTCCTTGTTGCCTCAAAGTCCTGAATTCAAAAAGTGGCTTCTCATTAAAAAGTGTAGGAGTTAAATAACCGTGTCGGAAAACACATCCCTGTGGCACACCCAATTTAACAGCACGCTTCGGGCACAGCTCTGGTAATTGCAGACCGTGGAAGTGTTTGTGGATTTAACAGGCTTAAAAGAGGTCACAAACATACATGCACAGACACAGAGAGCTGCTGTTATTCGTGTCATGTTGTACCATCACCCCTCACACTCCATTAGTACATCAGTTCATTAAAGAATCTTTTGCTAAACAAATAAAAGACTATAATAATGTTCTGATGATTTACGAACAGCCCATTTTTGCAGCTTAGTCATGTACATGTAGCCTTTTATTTTAAAAATTGCAATTAAAAAACAGTCTAACGTATGTCCCATTTAAATCTAACAATGTACAACCTATAAAATATATTTTATTTGTGTATATGGATCAATGTGTGTAGCCTCAGGGAGGCTTAGCCCATAAACAGGCCCAGTATGATGCTGTGAGCTTCTCGTGGCCTATTTACACCCGCTGAAATAGGCCGGTTTGCTCCAGCGTTTACACACATGTCTTGACGTAACACTAGAGATCACTGAATCCTGTAATATTGCACTGAGCTGTGTCACTGGTCATGTACGACAGCAGTTCTGCTGACCTCTTACAGTACGTGTAGCAGTTTGAGCAAGATAAATGATAGAAAAAGAAATGTCAGCTGTTTGCATTTCTGCTAGAGGCAACAGAACTGCTGACTGAATGTGGAGCGATTGCATGATTCTAATTAAAGCAATAGTTCAGCCAAAAATAAAACTAATCTGTCATCATTGTACTTACCTTCGTTACAATCCCACATGACTTTGTGCTTTCTGTCGAACACAAAATAAGTTTTGCAAAATGTTAAAGGTTTCCTTGAAAAAAAAAAAAAAAATTATTATATATAAATTTTTTCCCCTAGGGGAAGCTTATACGTACATACAGTATATGTCTATACTGTATTTTTGATTAAATGTACATTAAGTACAATTAGTAACCCATTATGTAAAAAAAAAAAGATTTTACAAAATTAATAAATACATTAATTTAAAAATAATTATAAATCTAAATATTAAATAATAATATTTTAAATAAAGAAATTATCAGAAATGTATATGGAAAATAATTCTGATTTTACTATTTAGCTGTGGACATTTTTGTTTCAATATTTGTGTATATATTTATGGGTTAGGGTAAGCCCAACAATATGATATTGATATGATTTATTTTGTTTATATTCATAAATAAATAATAAACCTACACATATTTATACATGTATAAATATATAGACTTATATATGTACATTATGTAGCATATGGTTGGGGTTACCTTAACTTATAAACGTATATCATTTAATTATAAATATAAACAACAATAGTCATGTTTTTATATTATTTATTTATTTGTTTATTTTTAGATTATATTGCGTAATAATTGAATAATTGAAAGTCAAGAATTGACACTGCTAAATAGTAAAATAAGAATTTTCCATATACATTTCTGATAATTTATGTATTTAAAATATTATTTAATATTTAGTTATATAATTATTTTAAATTAATGTATTTATGAATTTTGCAATAAATTTTTTTGTTTATATCTATAATTAAATTATATACCATATGATACATACTGTACATATATGAATATATAGGTCTGTATGTTTATACATGTATAAATATGTGTAGATTTATAATTTGTTTATAAATATAAACAAAAAAAATCATATCTATATTTCTTTTTGGTATTCTTTTTGCAAGAATTCATACATATATATTTGTTTGTTTGTTTGGTTGTGTTATGATGTGTTAATTATTAAATTGCATATATTAAAAAAATAGGATAAAACAGTTGTCAGGATCTTTTTCATGCATGTTTTCCAGTGTGAGGAGAACGCTAACCTGCAAGACTGTGCTCGCTACCTCAAACTGCCCTTCTCGAAATCAAATCTGCCCGGCAACAACCAAACTATGAAAGGCACTAAGGAATCCCTATGGATCACATCATTCCTCTGTTCTACCAAACTCACTCAGAACGGTAATGTGTGTGTCTCTTTGTACAGGATATGATGGGACAAAACGTCCCTAGTTGGAAGTTTTCTTGGCATGATGCATCACAGAACATGGGAACATTTGGGTATCTGGCATGAAGTTTCACACACTGATTGCTTATTGGCTGTTTCCTGCAGGTGACATGCTGGACTTACTGAAGTGGAGAGCCCATCCGGAGAGAATCAGCGACAGCCTGTCTAAACTCAAAGAGATCGATGGCTCAGAAATAGTTAAGGTCAGCTGCCCTTCACAGCCTTGCTGTTGGTTAATGAACTTGTCAATCACAGTGATCTTTCCCCTAATTGGTGCATATTTACTAATAAAGTCAAATATCTCGAATCAGTTTTTACAAGATACACTGGACACGCTTTTTGGCATTTTGGATGAGAGTTCACAAAGATATGCACTCAAGGTGTTTGATTGTCTGGTAAGTACAGACCCTCATTTTTTTACACAATAGAGGCCAATGAAATTGCATGTTGCTTACTGTGAGTGTGCATTTTCGTCATTCAGGTGCACATTATAAACTTGCTCCAGGACAGCAAGTTTCAGCATTTTAAACCAGTCATGGACACCTACATTGAAAGCCACTTTGCAGGAGCCCTGTCATACAGGTATGTTAAAAATCAGAAGCGTTTAACTCTCAGGACGCCTGGAATCGATCCATTGATTTGAAGTGGAAATGTAGAGGTGTAAATGTGTGCTTGTGCTGTCTTTCATTAAAGTAAATGCCACTTGTGTTGAGGTTTTGTTATATAATGCATGATATTTGATGCATTGAATGTGGCTTAAGTGTCTAAATACTTTGTAGGGTCACTGTATAGTTTGTTTTTGTCCTGGACGTTTGTTCGCAGCTCTCTCAAAGCACTGATTCCTCACTCGAATAGCACTTCATTTTGCATGTTCATTCATCTGGGTCAGAGATCAGCCCACATTACAGCCTACACAGTTGTCGAATGTGCATGTTACGCAACCAATTACGTTAAAAACTGGACAGAATCAAACAGACAGCTGTCAAGATCACTTGAAAAATTAGAAAGACTGTACAGTTTATTTGCAGAAATTAATTTTAACATATAGTTTAGAATCAAATCTAATAGACACGGATTGAAAGCCACAACAGTCCAGTTCCATGGGGTGTTTAGACACATCTTTTTATTTCTAGTTATTCTTGCTCACTGGTGCAAATATATTGCGTCATGCTCTTTCATTTAAAGTCTCTTCCGTTCTGACTTTCAGTTCTCCTTTTGTTGTGATATTTAGTCTCTTAAAAACCATGTAACCGCATGCTTGCAGAGCATTGGAAGATCAGCTCAAGAACTTTCCTCTCGTACTTCACACGCTCCGGTGCGATGGATGTCACTTTCCTTCAACTTCTCACTGCAATGCTAGGAAATCAGTCAAAATGCCAGATGTGATTGCAATGCTTCTTTTTATGTTGCAATACATGAGCTTTTACGATACACTGTGATTAAGAAGTCTCTCTTGTTTTCCTGCAGTATCACGGCTTCACTTAAAATTGCATTTTAGATCTATTTTTTTTCTATTGATTGTTTGAAATTCAGAATAAAGACGTGCTCGATTAGAATGCTAATGTTTTGGGAAGAAGACACAAAAAACTTGATCGATAATTGGCAGACACATGGCTTAGTGGTTACATTGGGCTTTGGTACTCCTTCAGACAATGCAAGTTTGAATCCGGATTGCAACATTTGCATGCTACATTGCACCCTACATCTGTTTCCAATCACTTTCTCTCTCCTATCCGTAAAAACGTCTCAGGTTGCTTATGTAACCATGGTTCCCTGAGAAGGAAATGAGACACTGCATCCTCTAGAGGTCGCTATGGGGAACGCCTTCAGCGTGACCGGTATCTGAAGCATGCATCTGAACACGACAATAACATTGGCCGGCGACAGCCTATGACGTCATTGCCCGGCGCGATCACAGTATAAAAGGGCGCCGGGAGAACACGTCACCGGCTTCTTCATCTGAAGTTTCCGTCCGAATCATGGCAAGGGAACTAGAGGACGCATTGTCTCGTTCCCTTCTCAGGGAACCATGGTTACATGCATAACCTGAGACGTTCCCTTCCGAGGGAATTTTGAACTGTGTCCTCTAGAGGTCGCTATGGGGAACGTTATACCCACGCCGCCATGCTGAGGGGAGTGCATGCCAGAAACCATGGCGAGCACTAAATACCAACTCTACCATGGCCTTGGGAGTTGCCCCTAAGATGCCTTGACGGCTGTCAGTGACATTATACCCTCCGGCTAAGATCCTGAGCTGCATACCCTAAACAACTTACCTGATAAGGGCTGGGTTGGGAAGCCCGAGCCTAGGGCAGAGCTCAAAGGCTTGGAATCAGAAGAAAGAGATTCCTTTGAGGAGATACGGACAGGTGTCTAAAAAAACAAACCAGACCCTGGCCTGTCACGCAGGGGGCTACTGCCTGCTCTGAATGAGCTTGGTCAAAAAACTGGCTTGACAGATCTTTGGTAGCATCACCCTGCTCAGAAATGTATCAACAGGGATACATAAGTTGAGTGGAGCCCAAGGTGAAAACCGGGGCCTAAACCAACTCAGAGAAAGGGAACGAGGCTGACAGTGCGTAACCCTTACCATACAGGATTTTAGAAAGTGCACAGAATGCTTAAACCTCTCAGGTGAGGGGAGCACTGCTAGGCTTGACCAAATAGGGGCAACTAATCAGGGAGGCAGCAAGCGGCCAAACTATCTGATGTCGCTGTCACAGAGCTCAAAGAGTGGAGGGCTCGACTTAACTAAAAGAGAGGAACCCAGCTCGACCGAAGCGATCAATAGCCCAGGGGCAAAGTACCTAGCTCTCAAGTAGAGAGAAGGACTCACATAATCTGCCCAGGACCGGCGAGCTCATAAAAGACCCTCCCACAGTGAGGGGAGCACGGCCATGTCCGGGGAGCAGATTGACCGCAAATGGGACATCAGAAATGGGATCCAGCTTAAAAGGGGATCGCACATTTCAACAAGGAACAAAAGGGTCCCAGCATAGAGGCAACTGACCAAGGAGGTGACAGGACGGACCTAACAACTCAGTATCATTGCATATGGAGTTCTCGGGATCAGCGCTCTCAGCTCTCAAGCTGAGGCGGGCCCTCAAAGCACAAACTGGGAGCGATAGGCTCC